GTAGTTTGAGCATTCTTTGGCATTGCCTTTCTTTGGGATTGGAATGAAAACTGACCTTTTCCAGTCCTGTGGCCCCTGCTGACTTTTCCAAATTTGCTGTCATATTGAGTGCAGCACTTTCACAGCATTATCTTTTAAGATTTGAAATAGCTCAACTGGAATTCCATCACCTCCACTAGCTTTATCCGTAGTGATGCTTCCTAAGGCCCACTTGACTTAACATTCCAGGATGTCTGGCTCTAGGTGAGTGATCACACCATTGTGGTTATCTGGATCATGAAGATCTTTTTTGTATAGTTCTTCTGTGTATTATTGCCACTTCCTAATATCTTCTGCTTCTGTTAGGTCCATACCATTTCTGTCCTTTATTGAGCCCATCTTTGTGTGAAATGTTCCCTTGTTATCTCTAATTTTCTTGAAGAGATCTCTAGTCTTTCCCATCCTATTGTTTCCCTCTATTTCTTTGCACTGACCTCTGAGGAAGGCTTTCTTATCTCTCCTTGATATTCTTTGCAACTCTGCATTCAAATGGGTATATCTTTCCTCTTCTCCTTCGTTACATAGTTTCAATTAAGAAGTGTAATGCCTCTAGCTTTGTTCTGCTTTCTTAGGATTATTTTGGGGTCTCCAATCTTTGTAGTGTCATACAAATTTTAAGGCTTTTTTTTTTTTCTATTTCTGTGAAAACTGTCATTGGAGTTTTAACAGGATTCATATTTGATTTACAGATCACTTTGAGTAATATGGACATTTCAACAATATTAATTCTTCTGATCCATTGTGAAAGAATATCTTTCTATTTGTGTCCTCTTCAATTTCTTGCAGCAATATCCTGCCCTGCCTTTTAAAAATTGCCACCTGGCAGCACACTGGAGAAATTATGTGTCTTACTTCTTTTGTTTCTCTTTTTCTTAAGAATAATTGCTCTATACTGCCAGTATCTGAAAAAAGAAAAAAAAAATCATCAACTGTTGATGAAATACAGTTCCTCCTGGAAAGTGGGGAAACTTTAGTTCTTTTCTTTCAGTTACTGATTTGGGGAATCAGATGATGCTGCAGTGGTCACATCCAATTGTAGCAAATAGGTTTCTTACTTTCTCTTTTTTTTTATTATTATCACAATATACCCATGAATTCACACTAATTCAGTATTTTACTATCAGAGTCATTTTTTGATCACTGTTTTCTCCCCAAGTTTTCTCAATATAAACCTTCTCAAGTTGTTTCCTGTGATCCCACTAACCTCTGAGAGCTTCCTTGCTTCATGGAACAAGGAAAATCCGAATATCAGAGTTCCTTCAGATATTTCAGTTTTCTTCTCAGTAAATTTGTTTGACGTTGGTCTGAATTTCTTTCTTTCTTTTTTTTTTTTTTGCTGTTTGTATATTTTCTTGTTCTTGAATGTTCATTTGTTTTTTCCTGGAACCATCTAATTCTGTGTTTGAGGTGAGAGAGAACTTTGGGTAGCTTACTAGCTTTCTTAATCTTTCTTTTTTTATGATATAGTTTACTGTTGTTTAATAAATGACACATATTCTGGTCTGTCTGTTGACCTCTAATTTGGGCTCCTCAGCCAGTTCTGCTTGTCCTTAACATTACTGCTTTCATTTACATATAAATTGGACTTTGTGTTATTTTATTTTTCTCTTGGTTGTGCTGAGGGTATATGCTACAGAAGGTTTATTTGTGCTTTGATTGTTTTGAATGAATTTTGTAGGATTATAAGTTGGAGGATTGGATATTAGAACTTAGGTGACTACCATTGTTCTTTAAGAACTTTATTTCTGTTTTTGTTAACTCTCAGAATTATATTACAAGATTTGGTGGTGTTGTTTTGTCTTATTTTCAATTAATGCAAAATGCACAAGAGTATTATCTTCAAAGCTTTATATTTTCCACTTATACCAGTTGAAACTTCCCTGATTGTTCAGCAATAAAGAATCCACCTGCACTGCAGGAGACACAGAACACGTGGGCTGGATCCCTGGGTTGGAAAAATCTTCTGCAGGAGGAAGTGGCAACCAACTCCAATACTCTTGTCTGGAAAACCCCATGAACAATGGAGACAGGTGGGCTACAGTCCATGGGGTCACAAACAGTCAGATATGACTGAACACACATACATCCACTCATCAAAGAAGATAAATGATACTACTTGAAATATCATATATGACCCACCTCATCATGTTATAGGGGCTTCCCAGGTGGTACTCTAGTGGTGAAGAACCTGCCTGCCAATGCAGGAGACATAAGAGACGCGGGTTTGATCCCTGGGTCGGGAAGATCCCCTGGAAGAGGGCATGACAGCCCACTCCAATACTCTTGACTGGAGAATCCCATGGACAGAGGAGCCTGACGGGCTACATA